GTAAAATAGTTTCGAAACACAATTCAGATTTCTGCTTTTATCTGTGCTTTCTAAAAATTGCAAAGCAAAACAGACGTTGATAAAGGTGTTAAAAGAGACGTGGGGAATCTAAAATTTGCATTCCACGACACATCTTTTCAACTAAGCAGAAATCCTTAGCGAATTGGTTTCTTGTACTCGTACAGAGTAAATCCGGAAAAAAGTGAAAAAGACAGCAAATATTTGATTTCACGCAAACAGCGCCTTTGTATCTGTTGATACGTATTTCGACCTAATAGGTCTCATCAGAACAGTTATTCAAAAGAAAAATATATATCAGGCTAGGATTCAGCCGGTGCTGACGTATGGGTCAGAAGTGTGGGTCTTTAACAAGAATATGTCACAAAAACTCCTCTCAACGGAAATGATGTACTGGAGAAGATGTTTCGGGTTAACTTTGTTTGACCACATAAGAAATGAAAACATAAGAGAGAGAATGAAAGTAAAGAACACAATAATGGATACGATAGCCGAAAAACAATTAAAATGGTATGGACACCTGAGACGGATGAACGAAGAAAGGATACCACGAAAGGTTTGGAACTGGAGACCTACACAGAGAAATAAAAGGGGAAGGCCAAGAAAGAAATGTATATCCAATATTCATATAGAAATGGAAAATAGAGGTCTTCAATTTAAAAAAAAAAAAAAAAAAAAATTTTTAGGCAATTTGTAAATTTGTTATACCTTTCAATTACAAGTACACTTGTTTGTATTTACTAAATAATCATTTTAATTTATTCTGGAAAATTCAGACTAAATTGGTTAGTTATAACAGATGATGTATTTCAATTATTCACATTGTTACATTGAGAAAAAATTTTTGAATTTGAAACTTATTAATTAAAATTGTTAAAGTATGCCAATATTAATCACAACAATTTACTTTTGATTACTAAATTAAAACAAATTTTGAGACATTCATTAATATCAACATACTCCATAATACTGAATAACTAAACTTACAGTATTTAGTAATAGAAGAAGAACTGTCACACTTCAACCTACATATGTCAAATTTACCTCTTAAATCTAATAGATTAAATATGAAAAAACTCATTATTTCCAACAGTGAGATGTAGTGCTGGCAGTTTCTTCCATTCCCCCCCAAAGTTTAAGTTTTAAATTCAATGTTTGTCCCGTCATTTAGTGTTTCTGTTCCTGTTAATGTGTGTTTAATTTGTCCCAGATTGTCTTAATTGTAATAATTTTATATACTTTTTATATACATTTTACATAATTGACTCTACAATATAGAACAAATAGACTTGATAATTACAAGTCAAAATAATTGCACAACCACACAATCGGTACAGCTACTCTTATTCATTGTCATACAACTGTCCCCTTCATTACATAAATACTTAATGAATAACGCATATTCCAAAAATATATCTCTGATATGAGTGTAAATAATTTAAGTAATACAATAGTAAAGAACATCACTTTCATCTGACAAACAACCACAATATACCTATCTCTAATTCATTGGATCAAATCTGTTCTCCTCAAGAACTTCCCGTTTATTGTCAAAACAACTGCAATAGCACATTAAAGTTCTCCAATCAACAATATATGATTTTTGCAACCATGACCTACCATCCATCAATTAATAGAGTACCGGCATGTAAGTAATGTTCGTTTTGTTTTATTTATCTGCTCATTTATTAATTTATTACAATATAATATTACTACTTTATACCAATTGTGGGTCTTACTTTGTCTTACCTTGTCTGTTAATACCTTTTATATATTCAAATTTATTCATTTGAAAACCACAGACATGTAATATTGGCATAATTACTATAATTTGTTTGAACTAACTTATTTATTTATTTTATCTTTATTAGACACCACCCTAATTGGGTTTATTTTATTGCAGCATTAGTTTAACTTTGTATCTGGACCTGAGGATGCTTTGCAAATTGTAGAAAGCGAAACCGGTCGTCAGATTGTTAAATTAAATTAATTGTGAGTAAGTCTTATTATTATTTCTTTACCTATTTGATATGGACTCACACAAGCAACACATTCATGATCTTTAAAATTGTTCGACATCTATAATTGATGCAAAAACATCTGCTGATAGTACTGTGTGGGAAAAAATCAATCTAACACTTCTCTTCGAGGTAGAGCAGCTAAACGAAATATTCATAAAGACTCTTCTAGACACACATAAAACGGTGCACAGAAGTTGAAGCTTGTCGATAATTGCAAACTGAAAAGTGGAAAATTTCACTAGAAGGTGTTGAAGCATTTGTTGGGCTTTTGTATGCTCGTAAAATTTTAAGGCAAACAGTTTTAGTCTGAACAGCTTATGGTCAACAAAGTGGAGATCTGTGATTTTTTTAAAGACAATGCCTTGAGATAGATTTTTACAAATAATGCGATTTATACGTTTTAACATCCGGTGTATCAGACGTCAAAGCCTTTAGGGCAATAAATGTTGTCCAATTTTAGAGGTTTGGGAGCGATTTATTAACGAAAACATAACAATCGATAAAAAAAACTTTTTCCAACAAAGACGAGGTGCAAATTTACACAAATCATGGCTAAAAAAAAACCGAGTTTGGAATCAAGTTTTGGCTGGCGGTAGAGGTAGATTCTCGATATTTCCTTAATGGTTTTCCGTATTAAAGAAAAGATGACACTCGTTCCTAAATTGAAAGACTTTCTGACCATGTAGTGGTGAAGCTGATAAAAGCCTACCTGAAAAAAGGACGAAATGTAACAACTGATAATTTTTATATTTCTCTATCCATCTTGCCCAAGATTTTGAACGAAATTATACAACAATTGTAGAAAGAGTCTATAGAATTCGAAGAGAAATATCAAAATCCTTGACAAATAAGAAGAGTGAACTGTTTTCAACAAAAGCTTTCAGGTATAAAAACTGCGCTGCAATTGCTTTCCAAGGTAAAACAAATAAAAGCGTTATTTTATTTTCAACAAGTCACTCGTCAGTAGCAGTCAAATAAGCAGGAAAGGAAAAGCCAAAAATTATAAAATTTTATAATCAAACTAAATTTGGTATCGATGTTGTCGATCAAATGGCAAAGAAGTACAAGGTAAAAGCAAGTTAAAGACGGTAACCGTTGCAATGTCTGGTCTCTTTACAAAGCAGTCACGGACAAGAAAATTTCACGTCGTAAATTTATTTTGGATCTCGTAGAAGAACTAACTATGGACCTAACGAACAGAGCTTCATCGGCTAATCAAGAAAACGTATTGAGTGCATCCAATTCTAGAGAAAAAAAGAAGAGAGAAAGAAAAAAGTGCAAAACATAATTTTGTTATAACAAAACCAGAAATAGCCGCTTCAAAGATCCCTATTAGGGTGAAATACGTATAAACGGATACACAGACGCACTATAATTAGGGTGACCATAATTTTTTAACAAAAAAAAGTACATTTATAATTTTTAAGAAAATATGTACACTGCTAGTGCCCTAGGAAATTTTCCTGGTCAAAATTTTACGAATCTTTAATGAAACAATGATAAGAACGATTTTTTTAATTAAACATAAGTACATAAAAAATGTATGATAAATTATAGTTAATTTTCTTTCGACGTTCCTTTCTGAACATCTTGATCATCATTTTGGTACCAGTCGTACTTTTTGGAACTATGAATTTCCTTCAGAAGTTGTGGTTTACTCTTTAAGAACTAAAACATTTCATTACACGAAACTTTGAAGTTTGTGTAGACTTACATGATGGCTTCCAGAGTAGATATTTTCAACTGCGATTTGTTGTGACTCCAATAGTTATTGATATTTGAGAACAACCGCTCAATCGACGCACTGGTCCCGGCAGACAAAAGACAAACTCACATAAAATTTTGAGATTTTTCAAAGCCATTAAGCAGTTCGTCCTGATTCAATATCGGACCTACGTAGTCTTTGAAAGCCTCACACGACGATAAAATTTTAGCCCAAGAAACTTGTTTTTTCAAGTTAACTCATCCAAATAGCTTTAGTTCACTTAAATTTTTACTCCAGTTTTTCAAATATTACACAAATGTTACACAATTTGAATAGGACTGCTTGACATGCGTGATAAAGATATCACGATAGTTCACACTAAGGTCAAGGTCTTCCATATTTTTAAGTTTTGAAAGGGACTCTCTTACTTTAAGCGGTAAAAATAACTTATTTAAGCGATTTTGAAGCTTATTTATGAGTTCGAAATACTCCAAAGCGGCTTCCGTTGCGCATATTTTGTCACCTTCTACATCTAAAATCACTTTGTGAAAGAGAGACGCAATGTTATGCAAAAACCACATGCATGCTTCACTGATTGGGCTTTGAAAAAACTTTTGGGCAACTATCAATCGACAAAAAATATGCTTTCAAGGGTTCGAACATTTGTATAATTGGCTGGCTGGCATTAGGCTCAAAAATCTTGTTTTTGAAAACGACAACATTTTTTGTACTCGATATCAAAAAAATCGCAAAACTGTTTTAATTTCTTCACTCTGACTGTAAAAATATAGAAATACTTAAAATTCTTGACCGCAATAACCTCGATGTGTATGGGTAAGACGACCGTCGCATTTTGTAAACAGTTATTAAAAATGTGTGCCACACAACCAATTCGAATCACGAGTTTACCACGAGAAGCATTTAATTTGCTGAATAGATTATTCACTCCTTTTTTTCTCATTCCACCAAAATTTGTATTTGTATTATCAGCAGACATTCCGATGAATTTTTGTAGTAAATTATGGTGGCTCAAAACATTGACGACGTAATCTTTTAATTGCTCTGATGTTTCATCGGTAAGTCACGTAGCTGAAGTAATTTTACTTGGACACCATTTTCTCAATCAAAATATCTTACCATTAAAGGCACAACTTTAATTTCTCTATGATTCGACGAATCGATTGTGATGCTGACGAAATTTGCTTTTCGAAGGTCAATTTCTAATTGGGATTAAGCCTCTTGAGCTAAAACATTTTTTACGATCGCCTCAGTCTTGGTTCGAGGTGTCCTAAATTATGTTCAAACATGCTTACGATTAGTTTTGACGTCCAGTCTAAGGATTTGAAACTTTGCAAATGCTTAATTTTATGGTAAGCAAAAGTACCTTCCTTGGCAGCAATCAACATATTTTCAGAACTTAAATTTTCTTTTTTAACAAAGGTTTCCAATTTGCTGCTCTTCGAGTTCGCATTAGTAGCCAACACGTGTTTTTTCTTTGACAAATGTTGTTTGATATTACTGCGACCACTGTTAGAAATATCAACATCACTTTTACAAACTTGGCAAAACACAATATGCGGTGAAACGTTTGATTTCTGTTTCATAATAGGATACTCTGCTTGCAACTCGACGTTAAAATGGCATTTTCTTCTAGGCGGTGACATGATGAAATTGTTTATTTTTCCACACAACACAAAACAATATAAAAAACGAGAAAAACTGTCGGAATTTAAGACAACAGGTTAATAGACTAATTAACAGTGAGCGCATCAATTCGAATCATAATTATATTTTGTTTGGACAAAACGTAGAACTTAATTTTGTGTAATTAAGAAAAAGAGTACATTTAGGTGTACTTCATAAATTTTAAAGTACAATAGGACAGCGTTTGAAAAGAAAGTACTGTCCTACTAAAAAAAGTACATATGGTCACCCTAACTATAATACGTGAAACCAAATCCTAACTGTCTTTCCTTTTGCTTCCTTTTAAATTTGCAAGTAGCATGGCCCCGATATTCTGGCCAATTATAATTAATATTATCATTATCATATTGTCAAGTCATTAGCGGCAAATGAAGTTGAAACTGCATATAAAAATTTAGTCAAACATTCACATTAATTGACTTTTAAACAGTAGGATAATGATTTTTTTAGCAGGTTTTATCTAAATAAACATCGTTTCATTTGATTTTTTAATTTTTATTTTCTTATAACATTTTATATTTTGTATTACTATAAACAAAGCACCTTTTACTATACATGTACTATTAGAAACAATCCAAATTTATTTTGGAAGTCGATGTATGTTCCCTCAGTTCTTCAAATAAAATAAGAAACTGGTCATCTTTATCACTACATTTGTTCGTAGATTTAAGTTCTTTGCTCGTAGGGTCTACATAAATACAGTTATCATCACATACTGTAATAGTTTCAAGATGGGGATTGTAGACGAAATAGTTGTTATAGTTGGTTTCGGTTCCCAAGTTGTAAATTATCAAATCCGTATCTTTAAAAGTGCACCCACTCTTATGGTTCCACCTGTAGCTGAAAATAAAATTATTTTTATTAAAATAAATTTATAGTTATGACACTCTTAATATATTCTTAGAAAGGGCTTTAGAGACTATGTGAGTATTAATATATTGGGACCGTGCAAGTTCGGAACAGCGACACCTGGTGTCGTAAATCAGCCAAATTTACTGCGCTTTCATGTTAGATCGAGGTTACCGGATAACTGTCAAGAACGTAGCCCCAAAAAAGAATAAGAAGAAAAAGTAAGAATGAGGTTATGTCGGTATGTTATTAAAAGGTAAACGTTGATGTAGCGTAAATACAAATAAATATATTATTGAATTACAGCATTACTGTTAATATGGATGCAACAAGCACGAGTCAAAGGGAAAAGCTTTAGTAGTGGCAAATGTCAAAAAAGAATGGAAGAATTATATGGAGTGGAAGAATTAAGAAAAATAAATTACCATAAATAATGCTAATGCTTAAATTAGCAGGTTAAGCCCATGATATCATCATATTGGTTCGAACAATTAATTCTTTCCCTGTAAACTTTTGGACAGCGAATATATCTTAATGCATCTTCAGAAAAACTTGAACTTGATGCATTTTTGTAAACTTCAAAAAAATAAAATTCAAACATTAAACTAGATTTTTGGGTTAAAATGAACTCTAAGTGAGTGTTATGAAACTAAAATTTACACTTAAAAGTGAACTTTTATTTATTATTTATTTCAAACTGACTTTAAAATCAGGCGCAAGAATAATGCATAATTTAGGTTATGTTACTTATGCTTTTTTATAATATAATTCCACTTTTCTCTTTGTAGTAGCTTTGTGCTTCGAAGTTGGAAACGAATAAAACTTAAATTGACAATTTTTTGTTGTATTTTTACTATATTTATAACACAGCATTTCCTAAATCCCATTTTCTTCAGTGACAGAAGGTGTAAATAAACAAAACGATTATGAAATATGACAATTGACAATATGAATTTATGAAATCTATAATCTATGAAATGTGCAGCAAAAAATGCAAGATTTCTCCACTACTCGCGCACGATCGTTTCTCGTATCCCCTCCACGTACTTGCACGTCGCCAATACAGATATTTTGGGTCTTGCAGTCAATACTGGTCTTTAAGTAAAACTCTTTAAGGTTTACTTAGCTTTCGAGTTTATTTAAGGTGAACACCAACCTAGTATTTAATATGAAAAGTAGGGTTATAAGTTTATCACATTCTGAAAATTAAACAGCTGGTCGTAAAAAACTAAAAACTATCATATTAGAGAATTCCTTTCCAGCGAACCCTCTAAATAGACTTATTTTTGGTGTCTTACGAGTCATAAAGACAAATTAAACAGAAGTTTCAACAAACAACCAAAATACATTGTACCACTCTTTACCATATATTTCATGTTTAACAAATAGACTACTAAATACATTTAGAGAAGTAGCCAATATTAAAATTTGAACCAAAAATATAAAAAAGGTATCGAAATTATACACCAAACTTAAAACACCCTTAAATAATAAATAAAGCTTCAATGTAGTGTACTCTCTACCCTGTAATAATTGCAATAAAATATATATTGGAGAAAAGTCCAGGAAATTGTCTGGAAGATTAACATCGCACAAGAGTGACATTAATCTGAATAAAGTACAAGTAAAGTGCATTAAGTGAACATTCTATTACGATGGGCCACACGCCTAACTATGATCAAACACAAATTTTGAAAAGGGACAGAAATTAAAACAAAAGAGGGTAATTCCAGCAATAATCGACACAAGTCGGTGGGGTTACCCTCTCCGATTTGGCTAAAATTGTACACATATGTTGTACGAGACAAAAAAACATGATTGTCAATTTTTCAGACCTTAATATTCAAAATGGCGGCCGTGGCGCGCTATTGAAGTTTCACGCTTTTTATCAATTTTTTTTCGTGTTTCGCTGATTTTTTTAGCACAGCGAGCGAAATACGCTTAAACAAATATTTACTATAAATTTTCCAATGTAAAATTTTCCGCTGAATACGATATTGGTGTCAGAATTGCCATATGAAGTCGTGTAAAGCCACAAAATGCGAAACAAAGCGCTTTTTTTGAAAAATTCATATCTCAAAACCACCATCTTTAACTTTTTTCAAATTTTTACAAAAGACGCCTTAATACAAGTAATTTCGAATAAAAGTTATCTCGGAAATCCTTTTTATATGTTTAAAGCCGCTGCACGCTATAAAAGTCCAAAAAAAACGCGATTTTCCCGCCTTTTTTAGCGCTTTTCCTTCGTTTTTCAGCTTCCAAATAACTTTTAGACGGTTTCTGACAACTGATCTTATCTGTGGATCTTGGCTTGCTCTAAGATTCGTCGCCATTCTGTTCAATTTTTGGCAACATGTTGCCATCTTCTGATTTTTAGTATTCGTAAGTCGGTTTCTACTCCATCTAACCACCTAATTCGCGGTCGACCTTTGCTTCTTTTTCCTACAGGTGTTCCTGTGGTTAGCTTTTTAGCAATGGTATTTTTTGGCATTCGTATTATGTGTCCAGCCCATCTAAGTCGCTGTGTTTTAATGAACGTTATGACATCTGGCTCATCAAAGAGCTGATACAATTTAAAATTATATCTTCTGCGCCACTGCCTTTGGTCGCTTACAGCTCCAAATATTTTGAGGAGTATTTTACGCTCAAATATTCCCAAAAGCCTTTCATCTTTCTGCGTTAGAGTCCATGTTTCTGCTCCATATGTGAGGACCGGCCTTAGCAATGTTTTGTATATAATAATTTTAGTTCTTCTTTGAATGTTTCTTGAGTGGAAATGCTTTTGGAGTCCATAGTCTGCCCTATTTGTAAGATTTATTCGTCTTTTGATTTCTTCGCTTGTTTTATTGGTAGCAGTCAATAGCGACCCAAGGTATGTGAAGTTGTCAACACGTCCAAAGGTATGACTTCCAAAGACTGTTTCTCGTTCCTCATTTGCTATCGGATCCTTTGTAACCAACATGTACTTGGTTTTGTCTTAGTTGATGAAAAAGTTACATTTTGTCCTGCCTAATTGTACTTAAAGGTGATTTTTATGTTCACACACAGGTACATATTAATTAGGACAATAAAGGTTTTTATTTTTTTTTTATTTTTATTTATATAGCCAGCAGTGGGAAACACGCCGCCTAGTGGTGAATACAGTAGTGAGAGAATTTCAAACATATAAATTACTGTAAGTATTCTAATAAGGTAATAGATACTTTATATATACGTATATTACACACACACCCTTGTGTATATAGGCGAACAAATATTATAATATGTATAACAATAAAATCATAGCGCAAAAAATGTATTGATTTCAGCGCGCAATTCTGCGTTGTATATTGTGTCGCGACCTATAAAACGGTAAAATCGGTGGTAAATAAATTCAAAATAGTCATTTTTTATGTAAAATTTTCCGTAGAATTCGAATTCGTCGTCAGAAAACCTCTAAAAGTTATTTGGAAGCTAAAAACGAAGGAAAAGCGCTAAAAAGGCGGGAAAATCGCGTTTTTTGGACTTTTATAGGGCGCAGCGGCTTCAAAGATATAAAAAGGATTTCTGAGATAACGTTTATTCGAAACTACTTGTATTAGGGCGTCTTTTGTGAAAATTTGAAAAAAATTAGAGGGTGTTTTTGAGATGTGAGATGAATTTTTCAAAAAAGCGCTTTGTTTCGCATTTTGTGGCTTAACATGACGTCATATGGCATTTCTGACATCATGATCGTGTTTAGCAGAAAATTTTACATTGGAAAACATATAGTAAATATTTGTTTAAGCATATTTAGCTGGCTATGCTAAAAAAATCGGCGAAACACGAACAAAAATTAATAAAATGCGTGAAACTTCAATAGCGCGCCACGGGGGCTATTTTGAATATTAAGGTCTGAAAATTTGACAATCATGTTTTTTCTTCTTGTACAACATGTTATTTTAGCCAAATCGGAGAGGGTGACCTCACCGACTTGTGTCGATTATTGCTGGAATTACCCAAGAATATTTCTAGAAATGTGTTTTAAAACTACACAAAACACTTTATACAAAATAGAAAACATTGAAAATAT